GGAGAATCCACAGGGAGTGGGAACATCCACGGGGAGTGGGAACATCCACGGGGAGTGGGAACATCCATAGGGGAGTGGGAACATCCACGGGGAGTGGGAACATCCACGGGGAGTGGGAACATCCATAGGGGAGTGGGAACATCCACGGGGAGTGGGAACATCCACGGGGAGCGGGAACATCCTCAGGGGAGTGGGAACATCCACGGGGAGTGGGAACATCCACAGGGAGTGGGAACATCCCCAGGGATTGGGAACATCCACAGGGAGTGGGAACATCCACAGGGGAGTGGGAGAATCCACAGGGAATTGATCCCGGAGCAGCCGGGGCTGGGCGATTCCAGCAGGGAAGGGACGAGGGGTTTGGGGATATTCCCGGGGATTTAAGGATGTTCAGTAGGAAAAGGGATGAGGGGTTTGAGGATATTCCCAGGGATTTCAGGACAAGGGTTTGGGGATATTCCTGGGGATTTTGGGACGTTCAGTAGGAAGGGACGAGGGGTTTGGGGATATTCCCAGGGCTGAGGGCTTTGGGGATATTCCCAGGGATTTAGGAATGTTCAATAGGAAGGGATGAGGGGTTTGGGGATATTTCCAGGGATTTCAGGACAAGGGTTTGGGGATATTCCCGGGGATTTTGGGACGTTCAGTAGGAAGGGACAAGGGGTTTGGGGATATTCCCAGGGCCGAGGGGTTTGGGGATATTCCCAGGGATTTCTGGACAAGGGGTTTGGGGCCATTCCCAGGGATTTTGGGTCGAGGGGTTTGGGGCCATTCCCGGGGGTCTGGGGCCATTCCCAGGGCTTTGGGGCCATTCCCGGGACTTTGGGGCCATTCCCGGGGCTCTGGGGCCATTCCCAGGGATTTGGGGCCATTCCCGGGGCTTTGGGGCCATTCCCAGGGATTTGGGGCCATTCCCAGGGCTCTGGGGCCATTCCTGGGGCTCTGGGGCCATTCCCGGGGCTCTGGGGCCATTCCCGGGGCTCTGGGGCCATTCCCGAGGATTTGGGGCCATTCCCGGGGCTCTGGGGCCATTCCCGGGGCTCTGGGGCCATTCCCGAGGATTTGGGGCCATTCCCGGGGCTCTGGGGCCATTCCCGGGGCTCTGGGGCCATTCCCGAGGGATTTGGGGCCATTCCCGGGGCTCTGGGGCCATTCCCGGGGCTCTGGGGCCATTCCCA